TCGGGCTTCTTGGAGAGCGTCTGGGTGTAGTCCGAGATGGCTCTGGTCACGGGGTCCCGCACCACCACGATGAGCTTCGTGCCCTTGGACATGGAGGAGATGCGGGCTGGGGCCTCCTTGGTGACGAAGTAGCTGGGGGTCTTCTCCATGGTGATCTGCCCCTCCAGCGTCCTGGGCATCAGGTCCCTGGGATAAGGGGAGAGAGGGACACGTTAGAGCCAAAACTCCCTGGGTGGAGGGGAGGAGTGATGTGGGCAGTAATGTGGGCATGTCCCAGGTATCAGGGGCAGGATGGTCCTGAGCATCACACCTCCAGCCCAACTCTTTCCTCCTCAGGAGGCCCATAATACTCTGAGATTCTGCAAAGATCTGAGCTCGCTCCTGATTTCCCACTTCCTTTACCTGCCTATTTACCTGGAATAAGACCTGAACTCATTTGGCCTCTTCAAGGCCTCCCCTCTTGATGGGATCCCACCTCCCTCCTTGCAGTGGCTCTGTAAGAACACAGCACACCTTCACGATCCTAATGCCTTATCCCTTTAAATTCCTCCCTGCCCACAATGGGGTTTCCTGCACAGTGGCTTAAATTCCCTGGAATAACAGTGAATTCCTGGAGTAACAACACTCCCTTCCTGCTGGACAGAGGGATTTTCAGGGGCCCGGATACAAGACTTTATCTTCTGGTATTTTCAAGGTGGCAGCAAATTGATGCCACATAAAAACGTGCATCAGCAGCTCCCTGACCTCAGCAATTTCCTTCTTTCAGCTAAAGACATCCTACACACAGGTTGCTTCGGGAAGCTGTCCTAGATGGAGTGGGAAGGGTCCTGGGGCTCAGGCCAGGGTTCATCCTGTTCCAGTGTCCCCATGAGAGTTCAGAGCCCTCCTGGCCCAGGAATGGGTGTGGTTTGCTAAAGGACCACAGGATTTGGTGGCAGGATAACCTGAGGATAAACAAGGCAAGCCAGGAAGGTGCAAGAGCCAGCTCCTCTCCTTGCTCCTCCTTGCCTGCCACACCACATCCCACCCCCTCACACACATCACCCTGTGTATCACCCCCAGACAGGGGCCAGAATCTACAAAACACCAGTGATTCACACCACCATCGCTTGGTTACACGAACCCATCCTGCCTTCCAGCCTCTCGGCAGCGTTTTCCTCTCCCCAGCTGACATTCCGACGGTCCCGTCCTTCCCAGGGGGAAGGGGAGATGGATGGGAGCTGGCTGCTGCACCAGTGAGGTTCACTGCCATGCCACCAGCAGTTCTCATGGCAACTGCAGCCCCCCACACCCCGAGCCCTCAGCTTTGACCCCTCTGAGGCCGTGACACCCGCGCTCAGTGATGAACTGCTCCGTCCCTGCTTTACTGCCACCGTCCTGCAGCAGCAACAACATCTGCTTTGCAAACCTCTGCAATATGCCAGCAAAATTAAACTCATCTATCAAAAAAGCAACAATGAAAAGCCAACAACAGCTAAAAAACACCAATAACAACCAAACCCCAGGCTGTTATGTTACAAATGAGAGAGCAAGGAATGACCCTACCCTAAAGCAATTCCCTTTGCAACCATATTACACAGAGGCTGAGCAAAGGCATGGTCCTAGAGAAGCCAAATCTCTGCTGAGGGTTTCTCTTCAGGGGAGACTCCAAGAATTTAGGGCACTTGGGATGGAGAATAAACGAGCTGAGGGGTATGAGGGAGCTCTCACGTGGCCTGAAGGCTGTGAAGACGTAAAGGGAACCACAGCTGAACTAAAGGTGGCCTTTGCCAAGCAGACACATAATTCTACGGTGGAATTTACCATCAGCTGATGCTGAGAAGGCCAAAAGCACAACTGGCTGAGAAACAGACTGGCCAAATTTATGGTGGTTGAGAAATGTGGGAGTCCCAGAGCCACTTGAGCCATGGGGAGAGCCCTCAGTCCTGACTGCCCTCAAGTGGGAGGAGGTAACAGGAGGAAATCTGCAATCCCCAGCCTTCATACACTTGTCTGTGGATGCCTGATACTAGCCACCATCTGGAAGGAGGCACTGGGCTGGAAGTCTCTTTGCTCTGGCCTGGTGCAGCTGGTTGGATGGGGTTTTGCTCAGGGCAGCCTCACTTTTGACAAGGGCATGGAGTGACAGGACAAGAGGTGATGGCTTTAAAGTGAAAGAGGGCAGGTTTAGATTGGATATTAGGAAGGAATTCTTCCCTGTGAGGGTGGTGAGGCCCTGACACAGGTTGCCCAGAGAAGCTGTGGATGCCTCATCCCTGGTTCGAGGTCAGGTTGGACGGGGCTTGGAGCAACCTGAGCGAGTAGAAGGTGTCCCTGCCCATGGCAGGGGGTTGAAACAAGATGATCTGTAAGGTCCTTTCTGACTCAAACCATTCTATGAATCATTCTATGAATCACCTTTTTCCCCCATGTGCATCAAACTCCCATTTCTCTGATGTGGTGGCATTGCCCTGCAATGACTGAGTCATCTGCAAGCACCTGAACCCTTGGAAGGGTGAAGGAACCAGGTCATACCCCCTTCCCCACTGCCTGCCATCTCAGTCCCCACTGGTCCCTGCCCCTGTAAGAGCCTCCAGCAGCTCAGAGTTGCTCTTGAGTAAGAGCAGCAGCACAACAAGGGCAGCAGGATGGCACTGACTTCTGTTTGTGTTCTGGTAAGTGTTGAAATCTCAGCTGTGCCTTCCCAAGGAGCAGATTAAACCCCTTCCACGGCAAGGCTGCAACACAGAGTGTCCCTCAGTGCCCAGGAATGAACACACACCTCCACTGGCGGGCCAGGACACCCTGGGAGCCCCGGGAATGTGCTACCACAGCGCTGGGGAGATTAATTCATTACAAAGGGCATCTTTCATGGACATAAACAGTTGCCTGGAGGCCTCCTTGGACTAATGGCATCTGGGTTTTATTGCAAAAGAGCCACTTGAAAAGGCAAGAACCACAAAAATGTTTCTGGCAAGAGCAGCCACCAGCGAGCCCTGCCAGAATAAATGGATTCTGTTATTTTAATTTTAGTAGAGCCCGGAGCTTTATTTAATTACTTAATAGGGGAGGAAGACTTTCCTCAAAGGCAGCATTTCAGCCAGGCATGTACATTCATATCTGACCTTCCCCAGGTCCACATTTTCTTCCCAGCCCTGGTGTCCAAGGTCCAAGACGGCTCATCCTGTGTCTGGCCAAAGACCCTGGAGGTAGCTCATGAAGGGGGGTTGTGACCCCTTCCTCACCCCAATGGGCTTTGCAGGACTTCGCTTTGGTCATGAAGCAGCTTGGATTTGTCTTCCCTGGGAGCTGCTGCAGCAAAGCCTCCAGCCCCAGGCCAGAGCAAGACAGGCACAGCTGTAGGGTCAGCAGCCCCAGAAGATCAGGATGGGGTGGTGCTGAGCAAGGGCTGAGCACCAGGATTAGGGTGACAGGTCCAAGTGATGCACGTGGGGCTGCTCAGGGATCTCCTGATGCACTTGGTTTACCAGTCCTGAACGCAGGCACGTTAATGTTGGGGTCACACTGGGGCATCCCAGTACCCGGTTCCCAACCCTCAGGCCCTGCAGGTGTGGGAGCTGACCTTTGGTGTCATGTTTATTATGGGTTTTGTAGCTCTTTGTGGACTGTACAATGAAGCCCTTCAGAAGCTGGACTCTAAGTTTCCAAGGGTGTTGGCTCAAGCCCTGCCCCAGAGATCAGAGTCCACAGAGACACCTTCTGATCTCGAGCCTCTGTTCTTATCAAGAGCACAACTCCAGGGAAGAAATCATGTCCAAAACCCTCCCTCCTCACAAGGCTGAGCACCCCAGGGTTGTGTTCCTGGCAATTCAGCTTGGAGGAGCAGAAGCAATGATGGGTGTTGGTGGTGTCTGCCACCAGCTCGTGCTGGGAACACACCTCGGCTCCATCAGGGGCTGGGAAATGGGTCAGAACAGCTGTTTTGCCCTCAGCTGACCTGTGCTGCTGTCCCATCAACTCCAAGCAGCAGGAGGAGCTGGTGACTGGCAAGAAAACAAGCACTGGTTGTTCCAGAAATGGGATTTTTGGGAGGGAACAGCCTGTTCCATGTAGGAGGAGCAGCCCTGGGCTGCTGTTTCCCACAGGGATCGGAGCAGCTTTTGGTCAGTGGATTCAGAAAACCCGATGTGAGTTTGCTATTTGAAGTCCATCTGCTGCTTTGCTCCCAGCTGGACCAAGCCCTGTCCTGCTCAGGACCTCCTGGGCTCCTTGGCAGCAGGCAAGGCACGAAGAGCAGCTGCGGACGGACTCGCTGCAAACCTTTCCCACATAAATCTGGTCCAGCTCTCTCTCCAAGGGAGGCTGACGTCAGTAGATAAGGGCAGCTCCTCGCCAGGCCTGATGCCACTGCAACCCAGAGCAATAAATAAAGCTGCTGTGATTACAGGTCAGCCCCGTGGGTTCTCTGGGCTCCAGTAAAACCTGCCCCAACCACGTGCTGAGGGCAGGATTCATCTCCTCTTAACCCCAGAAGGTGAGTTCCTTCTTCCTGGCAGTCCTTATATGACTTTTTAAAAATAATCAGCCTGCCAGAGCCCGGGTATCCAGGCTGGGTGGACTGAAAGGATCATCCAGAAGGAGGTGTGCCAAGCCTGATGCCAATGATGGTGTCATCTCCCTGCCCTGTGCTGGCATGGAAGGGTCTTGCACCCACCAGCCTTGAGCTCAGCTGCAGCAGAGAACTGAGTCTGTGCTCTGCCTGAAATGGCAATGACAATGTCCCTGGGGAGGAGGAGGATGCAGGGAATGGGTCTGGACCAGCACTGGGGTTTGCATCCTGCAGCAGTGCAGCTCCTCAGTGCCACAGCGGGGAACAGCTCAGGGGGAATGAGCAGTGAGGGAGAAATACCATCAAATGCTGATGTCCTGGTCGCAGCACCAGCAAGCTGGAGGTGGCACACGCTCCCCCTGACAGGCTCTGCTGTCCCTGGGGCAGTGACAGGTCACTGGGTGCAAGACAGGGGAGCAGAGGGGTCTGCAAGCAAACACAGCACAGGTACAGCCTGAAGTGCAAAGCCACCACCACCGAGCCCTGAGATGCAGAAAACTCCACAGCCGGGGCACGTGCCTGGCAGTGGCAGCTCAGGGACAATGCCTGTGTCCCTGGACCCCTCCAGCAATGCTACTGGGTCACCTGAGTGCTCTCCCTACCTGCCTGCAGCAGCAGCAGCGAAGGAGGAGCTGCT